GTGCAGCAGCCGAGGTCGACGTGGACCTCTACCACAATATCAATGCGTCCATGGATCGACTACACGCAAGAGTGACCTTTCGCCGGAGTGACCTTTGGTGCGCGCCCACTGGGCCCCCCCGATCGCCGAGTGCGGCGCGATAGTAGCGTATTGCGCGCTTGTGTTGGCCCCCCCCCCCGCGGCCCCCAAAAGCCGCGCACCAAAGGTCACTCTTACCCAGGGTCACTGCTTACGTGTAGCCGAAAGGAAGCTGTCGCGAGCGATGCAGCTGCATACGGAATCCGATCAGGCTTCATGCTGGCGGGGCAAGCGAACCTTCGGCGCTCCACGCGTGGCAGGCCATACGCGACCAGGCGATTGGCTTCGCGGGTGGAAGGCCGACCCCTTCCTCCACGAAGTCCAGAGCATGTTCGTCTGGAGCATCCATTCGCCGTTCTGGTTCAGTCTGTTTTCGAACGTATTCTCCGCCTGGTTTGGGGCAGACGTGCAGAAGATCGAGCCGTATTTCAAGGCCGTCAACCCCCGCGAGGGCTGCAAGGACTTGCATTTCGCCCCGCACCGCTTCGACAGCGCCAGCCCCGCAAAGAGCCGGCGCGCTCTATACTTCCTTGTCGTGGTGGCGACGTTGGGCCAGATAGTTTCGAACCTAAATTGGATTTCAGAGGCGGTGGTGGCATCGACCTTCTTCCGTTGTTTGGGCGACGAGAAGGCGCTCCAGCTGGCGACGTTGGCCGACGCCGGCGACGAGCTATCCTGCCTGCTGCGTCTACTCGACTCTGACGGCTTGCCACTCGAAGGTATCGCCTTCAATCTCGATGCTTTCGTGGAGTGCATCAACTATTTGTTCGTCGGCCGGGGCGGGCAAACGCTTGCGTGCCTGGACGGCGGCCACACCAAACACAGGCTCGACTTTCTGAAGAAGCCGCTCCCCAGTGGCGGACAGGCGGGCGACAAAACCACCCGTCCGCTAAGTCTTCAGCGAACGTTAGCTTGTTGTTGTTGTTGCTGTTTTGCACATACCCACTCTGGCCCGTGTAGAATACATAGCTGTGTTGCACGCGGGCTAGAATGTAGCCGTTGCCGCGCCAATCGCACCAGAGATTCCAAACCCCCTTGTCCAGGTTCCAAATGCCGCACGCCAGGTTTACAGCTCAGAACTCAGCCCCAGCATTGTCAGGGGGCCCAAGCGGGGTAGTGAAGGACGCCGAGCGGCGACAATGTAGATGCCGCAACAAAAAACAATTTGAGAGGGAGAGGGGGGCAGGATTTTTATTTGTATTAGGGAAGCAAACATGTGGAGGAGGAGGAAGGGGGGAGGAGAGGAGGAGGAGGAGGAGAAGGAACAGGAGGAAGAGGAGTGAGATTCAAAAGGAGAAAAGAAAGATGCCAACCAGGGGGGGGTGAGGGTGGTTCTTGATTGGGGGCGGGGGGGGGGGCTGGCCATGGGAGGGGGGGCCGGGTTTTTTTTTTAGAGCGCGGGTGTCTGGGGGGCGCGCTGGGAAGCGGTGGGCGTAACTCAAACGAATTGCATACGCCTTCTGCTACTCCCCCCCTCCTTCTTCTTCCTCCTCATCCTCCTTCGCCTCCTCCTCCTCCTTTTCCTCCTTCCTCCCCTCCTCCCCCGTCGTTTTTGGCCCGTAGCCTTCATCAGTGGCCCAACTGAGGAACGAGCTCGCCCTCCCCACTTAGGCCGAGGTGGAGTACACGGGCCAATGTTCCGTCCGTCACAGACAAAGAACATTGGCTCGCAAGTGGTTGTCTGTCCTCCTCTTCCTCCTCCTCTTCCTCCTCTTCTTCCTCCTCCTTTCCCTCCTCCTCCTCCTCCTTTTCCTCCTCCTCCTCCTTTTCCTCCTCCTCCTCCTGCTGTCCTCCCCCCCATTCTCTTCATCCTCCTCCTCTTTCCTCAGCTTCCTCCTCCTCCTCCTCCTCTTCCTCAGTACTTCAATGGCTTCCCTTTGGGGCCACGAACCGTGTGAAGGGTGCGTCGGCACGTGTGCGGTGGGCGCGTGCGAACGCAGCCAGTGGGACTTTCGGTGGAGTTCCCTACGGGGTCCTCAAACGTGTGAATGGGTGTGCCGAAATATGTGCCGCGGGTGCATGCGAGTGCAGTCGCTGGGGCCTTGGTGGAGCTCCCTAAGGGGCCACGACACGTGTGAGGGGTGTGCGACACGGGTGCGGTGGGCGCATGCGAACGAAGCCACTAGCTTCGGTGGGGCTTTTTGTGGGGGCGCGAAATGTGTGAGGGGTGTGCCGACATGGGCGCGGTGGGCGCATCCGAACGCAGCTACTGGTGTTACCGGTGGAATTCCCAATGGGGCCACGAATCGATCGAGGGGCGTGCCGGAATTATTGACTGGCGGGGGGGATCAAAGGCATGGAGCGGGGGAGGGAGGAGGGGGAGTGACTTAGGGAGACTGGGGCTTTGTTGTCTTTTTCAAAACGAGGGCCAAAAACGGCAGGATGGATGGGAATTGAACCGAGGATTACTGAATTAGAGAATCATCTGGGAGGTTGGGGTCGGCGCGTTTTCTATTGGATTTCCGATGGGAAACACATAGCACACGGTTTTCTATAGTCCTTCAGTACGCCTTATAGGAACCCGCGGCATCCTTCACGACAGTTTGGAGGAACCTGTCAGGAAAGCTTCACGAAGCTGAAGAGGCACCTTCGGGAAACGCCATTGTAGCGCCTATCATGCGCGTGCCAGGTGCCTATCAGGCGCCAAAAAACACACAGAAGACTGGTTGTGATCTGGACCGCTCCGTTTTTTTCCACTGGCTGGGATCTGGACCTCATGCAGAGTTGGGATTGGAACCGTCCGGTTGGGATCTGCACCCCGCGACATTCTGCCCTTCCCGCTCTGTGCCCGCCTCCTCCCGGTGCCCGCCTCCCCGCGCCTATTCTAAAACAGGGCTAGGATCGGGATAAATCGCTCCAGAGCGTTCCGGAGCGCTCTCAGAGCGTTCCGGAACGCTCTGGAGCGGCCGCGGCGCCCAATACATCCTCCAAACCCGCCGATTCTCAGAGATTTCGAGTTATCCCGATCCGATTTTGTCCCGATCTTCGCGTCGTTTTAT